AAGCCAAAAACAAAACAACAGTTTATACCCTTCTCAATTAAAATCTGTAATGCGATGTAAATTCACACTTTACTCGTACCTCTAGGGTATAAGACAAGCTTCTGTACATGCAAGCTTTCACACTGATTTACAAAACATCACCTGGAAAGCTAAAAATAATCTTTATAAAAGCCACAGTAAGGGGAAAGGCAGGAAGAGGGGGGGGGGTGGGTAGAGGCATATTTCAATAAATAATCCCAGGGCTGACAACTCCAAGTTCCCAGAGAGCTTTGAAGTGCAGCCCGGCCACGTGCTGCTCCAGATACCCAGCTGGGGGGCTGCAAAGGAGAGCAGGATCTCAGCTGTATCACCACTGTGCCATTGCTGTCAGCTCCCACAGATGGAAAGTGCTCCTGACATCTTCCAATATTTGAATATTTACTGGCAACAATCGAAAAATGTAGTTTTCAGTGACACCAAATCTCTCAGTAAAGAAGTTGGTTTTCTTTCTTTTTTTACTTTTTAATAAAGTTTGCAATCAGAAGAAAGATGCCTGCTATGCTACAGTTTTCCCCTCACCATGCATTTTCTTGAACTGCCTGATGAAGATCTATAAATTATCCTAATGTGTTGTCACAATATCCAAATCAGCTCTTCAGATTTTATTTGTCAACAAATTTGTGACAAGACTTCAGTGCAATGTACATATTCATCCATCTATTAAATCCTTATGGCATGCTATTAAAAATCTTTGCTCCCATTGTTTTTGCAGACGGTGCCGTGCATGCAGTAATCTGACAGATAAACACGTTGCCACGGCAACTGCCAAAATGAATGCCTTATTTTCTAAACTTGGCCATAACCCCAAACTTTTAATACAGCATCCAAACGTTTCATTCACTCGCTTTACATGCTCACAACAGACCCTTTCTCTCCAAATATTGAAATACATTGCAGGATCTGAATAGGTGAACCTTCCTCTTCCACGGAGTTTTCCTCAAAATAGCATTTTAATAACTCATACCGACTTTATGACAAGTCCTTTTGTAGTTCCTGAGAACACGGTTAATAACACAGAAACAGCAAACCGCATAACAACACCAGACACCAAAATATTAAAGATTCGTCACTGTGAAAATCTAAAGCACAGTCACATTACAGAGCTGCACAGATAACATTATTCATGTTGCAAAGGCAAGCATTCAAAATTCCAATTCCATCTCATTACTCACACTCACTTTAATTAAAATAATCACACCTTCTTAAAAATTACTGTTTCAATCACGGCACATGCTCCTCATTTGATTGTTGGCAGAGCAAGACTTCACTTCCCCCAAGCCCACCACGTATTTTCTAAAAGCTTCTATGCAAGAATCGCCTTCAAAGATGGCTTTCAAAACAAAAATACTAAATTTAACTAACAATTTGGGTTTTGAAGCTAAAGATCAGAGGTTTTTCTGCAGTAAAGTCTAGCCCCAATGGGTGGCGTCTTCACCTGGGCTCACACCCACGGCTGTAATAAGGAGGAGGCCACAGCAACCACATAACAGAAGCCCTATGGGACACTCAGAATTACTACAATTTGTAGAAAATTAAAATAAAGATTAACTGATAAGATGCCAGGCTGTCCAGCTGCCTTGGCTTAAACAGCATCTCCTTTGCTGTAAGCTTGTTGTGCTTAGTAAACCAACTTCTAGTCCGCGTGTAAGAAGGGCTTCTGCTTTAAATCTCAGAAAGATTATTTCTTCAAGCAGACCTGAGAGCATCGTGTCCCACCAGTTGCAGTTACTGTGTGGTTCAGAAGAACCATCTGCTGGGAATATTCGATTGAACACAATTAATTCATAACAGAAAACTGCACTTGCAGTCTAGTCCTCGAGCCAGCTCCCTTTCCACCCACCTCTGCCACTTGCAACCTATTGCAAAAATATAAAACCCACAACACCACAGACCTCACAACCACGGAGCTGTCCATAAAAGCTCATGTGAAACAGAATTGCTATTCCTACTAGTACTGGTTTTGGGGGAAGGTTTGGTGGAGTTGGTTTTGGGAGGGAGGAGGGACTCACCAATTTTTTCCTTCCCTTAGGAGCTGGCTCAGCCAGGGTGTTGAGCGGTGTGTGTCTTGCCTCTAGCTGCTTCCCATACCCAAGTGAGCCGTGGCTCTTGCTTTTTTAGGAAGGACAGCACAGCCAGGGAAGAGAAGAGGGTGTCCTCGCAGTGGTGGGCCCCCTCTCTGCTAGCACGAGCACGCTGAGCACTGCCCCGTCCCCTTCCAGCACAGTGAGCTGGCTGCCCCGTTCTGCTGCACGTTGGGAAGAGACCAGACCCTAACGTGATGCTCTCCGTAAAACCTGTACCTCTCCTAGAGCAATCCTGAAGTTATGTAGGTATGGTCAGAATTACTCAATCTCCTGAAATTCACGCTACAGCCCAAGTTTGCAGGGTGGCCTTCAGGCCCTCATGCAGCTGGCTGCAAGACTGAAGGCAGCTCTGGGAATGGGGAGAGCTTGCAGCTCTGCTGGCTGCTTGTGGAAGGGCCTCCAGCTCTGTCTGATGCATGTCCTGGGAACCTGCTCCTGTCCAATAAATCCTGAGCAGGCGACGACGTTGCATTAAGCTCCTTGAAGTACATTCACCCACCTAAGCAGAAAAGTCAGGAGCAAACAGCGAAGGAAGAATTCGCCCCTCTGGGTGCTGAGCCTACACTGCGGGGAAGCAGCACTGCTCACCTGCTGATGGACATTTCCCAAGTTTCTGCATATGCCACTGATACAAGCAGACTGCTGAAAGACTGCCCAGTATTAATTTTCTTCTTAAGCAAGGAAGTAAGCTTAAGACATGTGTGCTGTTTCCTTCAGTCATGGTACAAAAATAGATGCCAGTGAAGACGACTTGTCTGTAAGCCAGCCCCAGGTTAATTAGGGCAACACTTCCAAGTTGTTACCCAATGCCACTAACCCGATGCAGAGACAGCTCGCTGTTGTAACACCCAGCTCCCGTACGTACCACTTGTGCACTTCTCCATGCACAGCGAGACATCAGAGGGGATTTCTGACAGCCGCGTCCCAGCCTACAAACCATCACTGCCGACATTTCACATCTACAGTGAAGTTGTCTTCATGAATCATTTACAACGCAGTAATTACGACTAAAAAGGCACAGAAAGTTTACCTCTTTTACCTCTAAACACACTCTGTGTAAGCAGAATCTTTCCTCTCTAATCTTAAGGGTGACTTCAAATACTGCATTACCATGGCTCATTTAAATTTATCAGTATGGTGACTATTGTTGTCATATATATACACACACACATATACACACACATTCTTATATACTTAAATACTGTAATTATGTTACTTTTTATGTTTACAGATAATCTATATCCTCAGAGTTATAAATGGCATATTTGCCAATCTAAAACAAAGATGATGATACAGAAGCAGGTACTTTACAGGAAAAAAAAAAAGTGATACACCTAATTTCTACCATAATAGCTCATGAGGCTTACAGTAAAGAGAATTTAGTAGCCTGTTGGATGGGAAGCTAGAAATGCCATCATACATTTTTGCAATTGCTCCACCAGAACACACAATTTCAGCAGAAACAGAAATTTTTTTGCAAGATCTCCATAACAAAGCAAAACACTACGCTGATTTTGTTTTATTTTCAGCACATTCACTGGCATGGCAATAGATATCACTATGTATAACAGCAAAAATATTTAGGGCACTGAATAAAACCACAAGTCAGATAAGCTAAGCCTGGATTTAGGGGACTGGAATCCAAGATTTGCTCAAAACCACACACACTTATTTGGAGCTGTCCGTATAGCACTTCAGGACTATAAAAAGCAAAGCACTATTTTATCCTTAATTTTTGATCAGATAAACTTTTTTCCCCATTATGTTCCCTCAAGGCAGCAGCCTTCTAGAATTTCAGTAACATGACAAAAAGAAACATGCAATCAATTCCCAATAAAATCGTGCCACGTCTTCACATACTGCATACACCTTCATAATTTTGCAAACAGCACTATAATCAAAATGTTCTTCAGGGATCACAGAACAATATGCAAAGTGTAGCATCGGATTCAATACTGCATTTACCAGGCTTTCAAGTAGAAAGGTTATAGATTCAAAATAATTTGGTTCTCAAAACTGAGAGCAAGCAGCAGCAGTGCTCCTTGTACACAGAGATGGGGTTTCCGCATGGAGATTCTAACCAGCACACAACGGGGAATTCAGGAAATTCAATGCAAAAGCATCACTTCAAGTAGCCCAAGGAACAGAGTACTTTAAAATGAAAAGTCCAGTATTGTGTAACAGTTTGCCAACCAAAAAAAGTGAACAAAGGGTAAATTCATACTTAATTCCAGATTCCAATTAAAAATTTAAAGTTTTCCGATTCCAATTTATATTTGAGTGGTGGCGGCAGTGGCATATGTCAGTGTTGTTATTTTTTTAACCTAGATTTACTTTTTTAAAAGTTAATAATGTTCAAATAAAATTTATCATTTTAATATTAAATATTTTTCTTCACAAATTATCTAATTACATAGCGAAAAGGTCAACCAATTAAAGACATTTCAGGAAGTGTAACTGACTGAAGGAATCCCAATGTTTACTCCAAAAGTAATAAGAGTTTAAAAGCAAGCTTACAGGTAAGTACACTTCACAAATGAAAAAGGAATCACAGAACATCAACTCTTTTTATAGGTCGAATGCCTTCTGTTTAAAAAAGGATATAAAAAAGGAACTTAATATAATTACTTTTTTTTTTTCTACTACATATTATACATTTTATATTGTTTTTGCTGAAAAAACATACAAGACTCAGCCTTCATTACAGCAAAAGGTCAGATAGTAAGATATCTGAAAATAAAACAAAGTACTTCAGATCCTGGTATTTTCTCTGTTTGAATTAGAAAAATAATTTAGAAAGTACAGAGAATAATATGGGGCCAAATAATTAAAAGATGTATCTATGACCTTCAAAGATATCTTAGACTTGGCACTTACCCCTCAGAGCAGGCAGCAGAGACCTCTCTTTCTTGTCATCACATTTATTACATTCACTGAAGTATAAAAGCAAAAAGACGTCCACAAGTACCCACATGAGAGAAGTGGCTAGAACCACCTTGCAGTAAACAAATCTCCTCATTGCTTTACTTTGTCGCTAGCTAAATTGCTAAAGAAAGACTGCAGTTGCTGAGATGTATCAACTCCCACAGTTAAAATCCAACGGGAAAGCAGAGACAGGCATCCCGCTGCAATTAAAAGAAAAAAAGGTCATGTTTAGCTAACAAGTACACACAACCTGAATTGAAAAAACCACATACATCTTAACGCTGCATTTTTATATCACGTATTTGTTTCTTTCCCTATATGCAGGTACTTTCTGTTTTCAAACACAAGCTAAAGCCTTTCTACCATCTCCCCATGAATAGCAACCTTTTAAACTCGCATACTGCAAGGGTAGTCTCCATAGATGCCTGCATTTAGAAGCACAATACTTTAATCATTCTAATGATATAAATAATCATTCTAATGCAATGTAACAAATTTTAATAAAGAGCACACAAAAGGCCAAAGTAGTGCTAATAGATTGTGCTAACCAATATTCATCATTTTGCTGAACGTTAGACATTAACACAGAGAACAGAAGTTTCCTTTTTCCTCAAAGGAAGAGTTTATAATGCTACTTTAAATAAGTTCTCTGAAGACTAGAAGCACTTTTTTTTCAAATCTTGCATATAAAAAAAATTGCACACAGCCTTACCACCAAACATACCTGCAAGAGAATACGGCACTTCCCCATCTACATGTTTAGGCTCTTGTATGAAATTTGGACAACAAAAGCTAAGTGTGAGGGTCTCCATATCTAGTCTCTAATTTACGAAGCTGTTGAGAGCATATTTAAACGCCGTACTCTTACCATTATAAACTGCATTCCATGTCGAGAGTGGGAGCTCTGCTTCGGCCGTGTTCCCAAAGCGCTGCCTCAGCACCAAGCCACTGGATACCCTTCCAAGTGCCTGTAAAACACAAACAGAAGGCATCCTTACCACCTGCCTGCCTTTTCTAGAATAGAAACAAGTTGCTTATAAAGAAAACTCTCATAAGTTTTATCTGCATTTTAACCTATCTTAACAAAACTTCATTTTGTCCACAACACTCCTCTATCTTAGTTTGGGGGGGAGGGAGGGGGATAATTATAACAAACTCAGTTTCTCCATCCAGCTGTACCCCAAGGGGCAGATCACCTGGTTTAACAACTCGCTCTTGGCCCAGCTTTGCTTCCTTTGCCATGCTACACATGGTGAATCCCACGTTACGTATGGTGAATTGGTGTCTGTCCCTTCCAGAGCCACAGACACCTGCCGCACACGGGGAGATGCGAGAGGATCCCAGGCACCTCACCAATTCTCTCTCCTGTTCAACGCGTGAAGAACAGTGCTAAGGGAGCTTCCCTAAGGGGTCATTTTCATTTTAAACGGTTCCAAAATATTTTATAAGAAGTTTAAATTACATTTTAGTTGCAATTCATTTGAACAAATGAGATGGAAGAGAGTGAACAATATAGTTTTTCAAATTATTCTTTGAGTGCTATTTTACTATGTAATAGTCAATAAAGTTTTTCATCTGTCTTAAATGTAAATGCAACCAATAGCTCTTTTCCTCACCGAAATGATTCACAGCCAGTTGATTTGAAATTTCAAGGGCTCTGGAATACTTGGTTTAGGTTAGCACAATTCACTTTCCCGCTAGCCAACAGGAACAGTTTAATGACAGGAAGAAAATGACAAAGAAAAAAACAAATTAACACTGATCTTTATTAGAAGAAAAGAGGAGAAAATAGCAGAAGTGTTAACCCTCTGCACGCAGCCTGCATCACCATGGTGGCTGTAATTGGCTTTTGTAGCCTTGAGTAGAATAGTTACTTGTTCGGCACCAGCTGAGATACAAAGGCACTTCCTCCCCAGGCACTTAATAATACAGAAGAAATTTTTTCTTCATCAATTCTTGTTTTAATATAACTGAGTAAACCTCAGAAGTATAGCAGCCATAGAGAGATGATTGGAAAAATCTCCTGTTCCCAGCGCTGCGTGGTTTTTAAACAAATCATCTGTACAAGAGCCACTGCAGCACTGCTAGCCGTGCAGGTTTCGGGGGCTCGAATAAAGGCAGCACAACAAGCTATTGTAATGTTAACAGCAGTGACAGGATTTTTTTTAAACAATTAACGTTTTGATTAAATGGTCCTCGAATTTCTTCAAAAAAAATGTAAACTTGCATTGACCTTGAGGTGCGGCGAAGGCAGGGTAACTCCGTCCCGGCACCTGGCTGCGGGGTGGCCTCTGTCCTCACCTGCCAACCATTAACCCGGCCAAAAATTGCTCTGCTAAGAATTGAGGATTACCAGGGGCACAGAACCAAGCCTTCTGCTCCTCGTGCCCTATAAATACTGGTTTTCAGGAAGACATTAAGTGGAGATTTCACCGCCCACAGAAAGCCACCCACAGCTCCTTCGGCTCCGCAGTCCGTGCCGTCCCAGTCACCTGCCCCAGGAGGCCTGACCATGGGCCAACCCCGCACACGAGGCCGATGTTTTGGACCTCAAGCTCAGCAGCTGGGCCTTGGGGCAGGAGGGAGCCCCCAGATCATCCCCCCAGGTGCAGGAGGATGCAGCCCAAGCGGTGGGAAGGGGGCTGCCCGCTCTCCCCGAGGCCTCCTAGCACCAGCCGCATCCCGCAGCCAGCAGGGCAAGTGGCCACCCCGCTCCCTGGAGGTCCCAGCCAGCACCAAGCCCATTATTATTATTATTTATTTGTTTGTTTTTAAGAAAATGTATTTAGAAAAACCTATTTGTATTGAATTCCAAGCAGATACATATGAATGGGCAGGTTACGCTAATGGAATCATTTTTCAATTCAACACAGGAGTTGAACTAGAAAAAAATATACATAGTTGCAGGCAAAATTACTTGTTTTTAATAAAATGTAAGTTTGTAACTGGAATATATTTACATTTAGCTCTGTTTCAGGATGGACGTTTCTCCCCCTCACCTGCACCTCACACTGGGGCAGCAGTTTGATGATTGTTTTGACCAGCTGAGATGGCTTTTCTGAAAAGTAGTGGAAGGAAAATATTTACCTAGCCCTAGGTTTGCACAGAGGAGCGACGTTTTTCCTTCTGCAACCTAAAGGCAACAAAATACAATAAATAAATAAATAAAACGCGAAGCCCAGACCACTCACACTGGTGTCTTGGGACACTTCTGTAAAACATTAGGCATGAACAGGGCACGGGAAGTTCAGGCGCCCAAGGTGGGGAAAGAGTGAAACCAGCACGCCATTATGGGGCAATAGGAGGCAGGTCCCCAAATGTGCACGCAGCAGGGCCTCCAAAAAGTGGGCTCCTTCCAGAACCCTGTCCAGGGGACGCCTGGCACCCTCCTGGCATTTTGGGTGCCCTCGGCCAGCACAGCTCACCGGGTCGGGGGCACCTCTCAGCACCACCTCCACCATCCCAGCCATCCTTATGGCCCACAGCCCCTCCTCCAGAAGCAATGAAGCTCTCCAAATAATATCCAGGTTTTGTTTGTTTGTTTTTTACTAAAATACAGAGCAACAAGGTTTCAGGAGAAAGAGGAAGGTGAACGTGCTGGGCTTTTCAGCTGCCACTTTAAGAATAAAGCGGATTTAAAAGCAGTATGTAGCAGCAACAAAGCGAGGGAAATCCCTGCCCCAAAAAAACTGCAGTTTGGCAGTGCTGTAAGCAATAAAAACAGGGCTTTAAAATAGCAAACAGTATGCAAATTGAGAAGTCACGTGCATTGCCAGGCTTTCCTAAAACCGCCACGACAAAACGCTGCGGTAAGGGGATGTTATGCAGGTTGCAAAGTCAGGCTCTGAGAAGCCGGCAGAACTAAAGGCAATTTGTGGGGTTGTGGCTCTGCCCCTCGTGCACTGAGGAGTCCCCTCGGCAGAGCCCACTCGGCACACGCAGCAGACCCCATGTAGGGAACGAAGCAGTGCCTCAGCGCTTCCTCCCGCACGGCACCGCACAGCCCCGTGCCCCATTTATTTTGCACAACTGAGCCGCTCAGAACGGGGAACATTTAATTTCCTCGGGGACTTCCAGCTACGGCATTCATCACTTCCCCATGCAGGTGCCTAAGCAGCTTTTAATTTAGTTCCACGCTAGTTCTGCAAGATTTAAAAAAAAATTACAAAAAACGATCCTTTCTTTAGAAAAAAAGGGGAGCGTTCCCAGGGCCAGGACTTTGAGGAGCCCCCCCCCAGCTCTGCTCCCTCTGCTCACCCCTCCAAAGCTGGACACGCAGCCCACGCCAGCGCACTGACGACACCCACAACTGGCTCTTGAGCCAGTAATTTTCCTGCCGATGATAAAAGGTGACGGCCCCATGGTGTCTTCTGGGGGGCTCCCTCCGTGGCCGTGCCATGGCAGCACTTTGCAGCACTGCATGGACACCTTTTGTGGCACTGGAAGCAGCTTTTTGTAACACGCCTGTTGCTTATCTTGATCTGGGCACCTTTCACAAGCATCCTTCTATTTCACAGCCCGATGGTTTCCTCTGACTGCTTTTTGTTTTCACACTTTATCAGCATGATTCGCAGTGATTTCAGGCTCAGATGTGGACTTCAGACACTAATTGTGGCAACACAGCAGTGGGACTAAGAGCAAGTCCGAGGCAGCAGCCCTTCAAGGACTGCATGCAAAAATTGTTCTATTCAGAAAAATATTAATGGGGCTTTATCCCCGCACATTTTCAAAGGGCCAGCAACTGTAAATCAGTGCGAGCACATCCTTGAATGGCCCCTTAATCTACCGCCACTCTTACAGCTGCATATGAATTAACTGTCCTAATCCTTGGGCAAGACAGAAACAAACTGCTTACAGAAGCTCCTCCGAAGAAAAGCAGAAGAATCGCCCAATTTATCACTCAGCACTTGTAACTGTGCTTTTCCTGTTAGGTTGGTGGAGTCCTGGAGTCCATCTACGCTCTGGGTGTATCCTGGAATTGGGATTACACCCCACAAACCAGTATCAGAACTACTCCAACCTCAGCCAATCTCCCAGCCCTGGAGACTCCAAGCTGTGCAAAGCCCCCGTTAGCCACCCAGGCTCCCAACAACACCTACATTGCCCAATGACTTCTGAACCAACTTTTAGATGCTTAGCTAAGAAAGGATGCAAACTGGAAGTTATTACTACCGTGAAAGCCGCTGTTTGGTTCTGAAACAACCCCACAAGGCATGCAATCAGAAATGGGGATGAATGTCATTTTTCCAAGTCATCCAGAGGCAGAAATGCCTGTTGCTGATAACCTGCTGCTTGTCTGGGTGTTTGATAGCATAGATTTCATTAAGCATGGTTGTATAAAGCTACACGTTCCCATATAGACTGCATCCCCAGTAGCTGTGCACAGCATCATACTACCAGCAGAATCCCTCCTACTCTCTTCCTTTACATCCCCCTAAACTGAGGATAGTGAGGGGGAAAACATGATATTGGGGGCATGGGGGACAGAAAACGGCCTGGCTGGCCTCTGGGGGTACACATCAGTGACTGCGTACACCCTTCAGGTCCCAGGTGCTTCAGAAAGATGAGCAAGCGGATGGAGTTACAGTATGTAACGATTCAGCTGGTAATTTCCTGCCTTTCCATTATTTAAGCGAGGCACACTGCATTTTCCAGTGAATCTATTATCTGTCACACAGACCATTCTTTTAACATATGCAACTTTACTGCCTCAGTCAGCGCTGAAACTTACTCTGTTTGACATCTCTATATGTTAGCAAGCAGCTCAATTCACAGCCTTTCAAACGCTCCTCTCATACCTACTGAAAGAATTTGGGCTAGAGGCTAAGAAACAGAGAGCTGAGATGCCCACAGCTGCTGTTGTGATACTGACCACGAGAGCACGGTACATGAGACTAGCAGACTACCGTATGAACTGGGTAATCCAGACACATTAAGTCACTGCTGTGGACAAATCCTTGCTATGATGCAACATTAGGCACTCAGATGATGGCCATATTAACCAAAACTCAGTTTGTGATAGCAGCAGAATGATCTTTAAAAATTAAATCTACTCAGTAGCGAAGGCGTCCATAAAGCCTCCGGGAAAGCCACGTTTCAACCTTCCAAAGCTGATCTACGGCACGCCGCTGCTCTACCAGAGCCGTTTGCATCTGGCTTCTGCAAAAGGCAGGTAGGTCAGCTGAAGAGTACTCAGAAAGAAGTTTGCTGGAGGAAATTCTCCAGCAGGAGTGATCACAAATGTCCTCTACACCTAAGGAGAGCAGGCCAGAGTCCACTTGGTCTGAAATCTGGAGTTTTCAGTCCTCATCCAAAACCAAAGAGTGAGCGTGATGCTTCCCGTAGCTCTCCTGTGATTCACTGAAGCTGCAGGAGGAGAGACAGGCAACAACAACATTTAAGCAGGGGTAGCAGAAAGATTTGGCACTACTATTTTTGTCAACCTCTGCTGCAGAATCAGAGTGCAACGTAGGCAGTACTGCACCAAATGGCAACCGGCCAGCGTGGAGGGACAGACTCTATCTACACAGACCTGCAGCCGTGCGTGCTAGGACCACGGCGTCACAAAGCAAGATCGAACAAGTCCACTGCTTAAGTTTCGATGCCATATGTGCTACATTGCATTATAAATTAAATTTATCAGAGTTGGTACATGAGTAATTATCTTTTAAAACGAAGAGGCAAGCTTGCTTTAAAAAATAATAAGGATTGCCACCCTATTTTTCCAAGACATACCTTAATTATAAATAACTATATTTAAAACAAATTTCACCTACAAAAAAAGCTGACTTAACATCGATTAAACCAAACCTAAATATATACCATACTCTCCAAAAAAAAAGCGTGAATCATCATCAAATACCACAAGCAGTTTATTAATTCCTCTATAGTTACCTGGAGAACTTCCACTATTCAAACTGTCAATCCCTGAGATCGATACAGGAAGCTCCTTCACATTCAGTAAGGAAAAAAAAAAATCTGGTGCATCTAGTGGAGCTATCAAGTGTTTTGTGCCTTAAGAATTAGCTTCTCCCCCTCGCTCCTCTCCTGAAATAGGCAGCTTGACATTTAAAAATAGACCTATTCTTCATTTTAAAAAGCATTTCCATGACTCCGAAATTAAAGTGGAAAAGGCTTATTAATTCATCTAACCAAACTTCTTTGTAATAAAAGTCTACTCTATTTCACGCTGCTTTGTTCCAGCCGGAGTTGAGCAATATGCCTGGCACCAGTTTTTCACAGAATCAATACCTCAAAGCAACACATGTCTTGGTGTCTTGGATCCCCAATATCTAGACATTAAAAAAAAAAAAAAAAAAAGCTTTTTGTGTTCAGAGCAACCTCTCTGTAAGCCACTTTGCCTGTAAAGGATGTCGAATTTGTAAATAATTCGCTTGCCTTCAGCCCATGCCTTCACACACTGGCCTTGTACTACAGCAGACTGTTTCTACAGACCTGTTAGCAAGAAGCACAAAAATGTAAACCCAACTAAAATACCAATCCTAAAATAATACGGGGATAAACTCAATACCCAAGTATCAAAAGCCAACCCCAGGTGCTATAACAGATTGGAAATGCCAAGTCCCCCTCCAGCACCTTCCCCTCCTGCTTCCCCTGAGGTGCAGCCATCCAGTGAGAGCCATAAATACGCGAGCAGCCTTCGGTCACCAGCCTGCAGGGCTTCTCCTCGCCTTGGTGAAGGTGATGCCTCCCCAACCCACTCCCCAAGCTACCCCACTGCCCCAGCAGGAGACAGGCACGGTGACCCTGCAGGCTGCTGCGCGACCTTGTCACAGCTAAGGGACACGGGAGCCAAAACGTTGGAGCAAGGCAGACACCAACCAGGGAAAGGCTTTGTGCCAAGCACACATGGAAGAACACAGCCCAAGCACCCGAGGATCTCCTGACACACGTGTGGCTTGCCAGCACCGATGCTATGTGTCCTGTGAGATGTGGAACCGGCCGCCCTGGCAGCAACAATCCAGGCTGGCACATTCATCATCAACATCAGAGCAAGACTGAAAGAACACCTAAACACTTGAGTTGCACCAAACCCATTTGATGGACAAATATTTCTGCGAGTAAAGACAGAACTACAAGCCCAAAACTTTAAGGAGCTGAAACTAGCGTCACTTAAAAAACCACCAACCAACAGAAAACCTACCAGGGCAGTGACCGAGGGATGCCTGGTGCCTGCATGCAGACACCCGCACACAGCGCTCGGCAGCGGCCGCCGACTCGACCCAGATCAGCCAAGCAGACGGCGGTGGTAAGATCCCTGCTCACATGAACCTGGAGGATGTACCTGCCAAGGAACATTTGCAGCTGCACCAGCTGGAAGCGTGATTTTCCCTGCTTTGTGACGAGAATGGCCCAGCTGTGCCTTTTTCTATGTACCTGAGCCAAAGAGACCCCTTTAAAATGCTGAGAAATCCAAACTCTCTCACCGTTTCCAATCCCACAAAACAGCCTCAAAATAGCAAAGTTTGTGACTACTAAAAAGGCCGTTTTTGACAACCTAGATATTTCACATCATACTCACTCTGACTTGAAATTAAATCATCAAGAAGTAGTTGAATACATACTAGTTCTTTCTTAATCTCCAAGTTTCTGAAGAAAAACAGGCATGCCAAGAGCACACAGATCTCACTATGCCATATATAATTTGTACTCAGTATTTCCTATGTTCAGAAAAGTGACTCTCACATATTTTCAGGAAAATTATTTTCTTGAATGCATCTGCTAACGTCACAAAAACGCTAGAATTGTTACTTACCTTACGCAGAAGAATATGACAGGGTTTCCGAGTTCCTTATTTCCAAGCATTTCTGCTTTTCCTCCTCGGCCTTAATTTTTGCCATCTGACAGAGGCGTCAGGTAGCGCTCTGCTATATTTTGCCTCAACCCAAAGCGACCGTGCTTAACGCTAGGAGGAAAGTAACACAGTCTGATTCTCAAATATAAAGCGCTCGTGAGCTTTGCCACAGTTGGTAAGGGATGCTTCTACAACTTATTCTCCCCTCTTAGTAGGGTTCTTGGGGTGGTGGGAACAGATGTGCCACCTCTTTTCTTCCTAAATGCTTAGGGAATCATTTTGGTGTTTGGGGGGGAGTTAAGAGCCATAAATCCCCAGCCCATGCCGGGCTATGTCGCCGTCCCCTTCGTTCTTCATTTGTGCCGGGAAGGTGAAGCTGTTTATGCTCGTATTTTCTTACGGCTCTCCGGCAGTGGAAGAGGAGGCTGCGAGCTGTGAGCCTGGCTTTCCCCCAAAGCTCTCGGCACCGCTCACGCCAACACCAGCCGCACACAGGAGCTGTGAGCTGGATCCTCACAGCCCTGCTCCTGCAGGAACCGCTCCCAAACCTCACTGAGGCGATCCCAGGGGAAGCCAAATTCACCCTGTTACGCTCTCGGTTTAAAGCTAGCCCTAACTGCTTGTAACGAGAAGAAAATCCTACAGCAGCTGTAGCCACGAGCCTAACCAAAGCTCTGTGTGAGGTGCCAGCTCGGCAGTTCATTGCAATTAAAAGCGCCCTCGTTAGCCCCTGCACCTGGCTTTAGGGACCACCGCAGCGGCAACCGGGCGCTGTAAACCCTGGGCAGCGCTCAGGGAAATGTTAAACTCCATTTGAAGACCCAGCACAAGATTTAAGGCCTCGTCTCCCTCCCCAAAATGTGGGAGCCACCGAGCAGCGCAAATACATAACCCTCGCTGTGCCCGGCGTAAACCCCAGCGCGTCTCATCCCTCCCCTCGCCGAACTTCAGGATGCTGAGGGAGAAGCCGTGCCCATCCCATCCCCGTCCCCATCCCCATCCCATCCCCGTCCCCATCCCGCCCCGCTCACCCGCGCTCAGCTCCAGCAGCGCCGCCGCCCTCCTCCTCCGCATGGCGCCGGCAGCGGAGCGCCGCCAGCAGCGGCCCCGGAGCGCGGCCGGGGCTGCCCGGGGCTGGGCTGGGCTGGGCTGGGCTGGGCCGGGCTCCGCCACCGCCTCCTCCTCGCCATGGCGCCGCCCTACGGCTGCGGCAGCGCCCGGCTCCCGCGATACTTGGCCCGGCCAGGCCCGGCGGAGCCTCCCCGAGCCCCACGGAGCTCCTCGGTTGTGGTGCTGAGGTGTTAACGGGGCCAAGTGTTGGTACCGAGGGCTGAGGGGGCCGCTCCTGCTGCCCTGAGGTGTTCCTCAGCGCCTCATGGGGAGCCCGGCTGCTCGCTGCTCCTCATGGAGCCACTGAGCTAGCGGAACCAAATCTCCCTTTTATTGTTTTTATTACGTTATTAACGCTCACTGGCAGTCTTGTGCCTGCTGTCTGCAATCCCCAGTGTGTGGGGAAGGCACTCATCTTCCCCATCTGCCCGGTGGGGAAGGCTAAGCAATGGTGCTCCTGCCCCCTGTCCCAGCCCCAGCTGCCAGACCCCGCAGCAAGGTTCAGCTGTGCTTCAAAACCTTGTGTTTCTTCATTGAGAAAAAAATATATACCAATTATTGTTGAAACACATTCCCTGAAGCAGATACATGTCACTGCTGTGGCAAAATTCAAAGAGTTTCTGCCACCTCACCCCTCTGCCTACTGATGCAGTGTTTTCTCACACCCTCACCCACAGATCTCGGGGCCCTACCTCTTGTGTCAGCAGTGTTGGCATGTTTTCTGCTTTGGCTGAAGTACTGTTGCTTTCGTAAGAAAATCTCACTCATTAGAAAAGATAAAACCAGCCCCTCCTGCTTACATTAAGAGGGGGGTAAGGGTTGCACATAGACACTCTCAGTGGGTGGAGGGTAAGGGCTCCAGGAAGCTCTGGGTTTTGGCAGTGGGTTGGTGGCAGTGCCTCCTCCATCCTCCTACCTGTGCACCATCAGGGTCAGCAGCACCACAGCAAGGTGAAAAAGTCTCGACTTGAAAGTTTCTAGTCAGTTGCATAACATCTTTCCTGACGCTGAGGGCTGACTGCGTAGACTGGCTGCTTTGTATAAGGATGAGAAGCCTCTTAACACTTTGTGCTTCTTGCACTCAGAACAAAATAATAGAAGCGTTTTTCAGTATGTTCCAAAATAACATTTAAATAAATAGCTTGATGGTCTTTGTTTCTCTTCTCAAAACATGCAGAAGGATTGCTCGGAGTTTTTTAACATCTCTATGGAGGTACAAAGTCAGTTCAGCGTTTGTGATACAGAGCCTCTAAAGTATTAAATTATTCCTAATATAGACTTAGTATAACAAAGTAGACAACTTTGTCTAGTGGTTAGAGCACAAGACTTGATATCCGTGGTTCTGTGCTTCTCTGAGGCTGAGCAAGTCAATTCCTCTGCATTGCAGCTTTCTTATCTCTAACCTCACATGGGTGTAGTAAGCATTAATTGCTTTCCGTAAAGTATGTTGAGATGCAGAAATGCACGTTGCCTGTGTAAGTGCAAAGTATTCTCTGTTCATTTTTAATACTAATATTAGGATGCTTGTTCCAAGTAGGAAGAAGTGAATCAATATAGTAGAAGAAAATAACCCCCACAGAGTTTGGAATCCTTCTTAGCACAGGGTCAACTGGTTAAAACAGTACTGTCCCTTAAAAGAAATAAATACAAAATAAACAACAAAGTTCAGTGGCTGCGTTACTCACTCCGTCCCAGCACCATGTTAGATTCTAGGCAATGCCACCTGTTTGAAAGAGCAACATAAAAATACTCCCGAGCAGTTTTGTCTCCCAGAAGGATGGTTTTCTCCACCTGACTAGTTGCCATGCGCTGTCAGAGAGCAGAAATGTTCACTTTTCACTATAATTTTCTTTTTAGTTCATATAATAGACATCTGCTATCTTTATTCATGAAAATAGCAAATCTCCAAATGTTACTAAGATACTTTCAACAAGCTCCTGACAATGCGATGGCACGGATTTCTAAACTACTGTATGAAAGATACTTCCCATGTCAAAAAATTTTTATACTTTATTTTTTCCTCCATAGTAGTGGTCATTTCATGTGCATGTACCAAGACTTCTCCTGACTTTCGCGTTGTCCACGTCTCACCTTTAAAGGCCTTGACAATTCAGATTTCAATGGTGAAAGGGGATTTCAATGCAGGTGGTGCATATTGAGCAGCTCTGCTTCAGTCCTGTCAGTGGCTCTGCAGTAACCTGTCTAGTTTGTCACTCATTATTGCTTCTCTCATCCTTTAGTACATCATGGCCAAATGCAAAGACTTCTTTCTCCAAACTTGCATTGGACAACATTATATAGCAGTACTCTCCTTTTTAGAGCAACAAATTCCTCGCAATTTAAGAATGCAAAATAAAGCCGTGAAGGTACAGGAATGAATAAAACATGCAAGATTAGGTATGCAAACTTTACATGTGTGGCTTGTGTAACAGCGTGGTGTTTACACGGAAGCATCTGTTTTATAATTTACTGTGGGTGAGTGGTGTGCTGGTAACCATGACAAACAGAATCCCATTTTTTGAGGGGAAAAAAAATCCACAATACCTAATATGTAATGGCAAAGGACACACAACATAAGAATGGACATACGTGATTGAATCAAAGGCAGTGATCTGGAATGGTTGCTTGGAAAGCAGCATAAGAATAGAGAAAACATAAAGTAGCCTAAAGGAAAAGATTACTTCTGTCAGCAATCTGTGTTTCCAGCAATTAGAAGTGTGGAGTTTCCAGTGTGGGGGCTGCATTCCGTCCATTGAATTTAACATACATTTATAGAAACTCTGTGAATTTATTTGAATATCAATTTTAATCTCTTTTGACTTCTGGTTTCAACAACAGCTTAAGCTACAGAGTTCCAAAATTAATTACACATTTTAAATAAAAGTACCTCAGCTTCTCCACATTAGTTTTATAGTGGCTGCTTAATATTCTTGTTGGTGGTCTTCCATTCTAGTAGTTTGAAAAAATGGTGGACAGTCATCTCTGATACTTTTTTTTTTTTGTACATGTATTTGTTATCTCAGATGCTTTGGTCTTTCCTATTCTTTTATCTTTACAGGCAGTAGGAAAGTCCTGGTCTCTTCAGTTTCCCCTTATACAGAAGCTGCACCACATCTTCACAGATACTCATCTTTCCCTGTACGATCTTTTTTTCCTGCTAGAACTTTTCTTTTTCCCTCCCAGAGAAAGCAGAGATACAGAACACCCCTTTGCTTTCCAGATACATTAGCAGCATCCCTGTCAGCCTGCTTACCAGTGGGTTGAGACCTGCGTAAGTTCACGTCTGCTAAGCTTGAATGAGCTGGAATTGAATAGCATTTAAATAAAACCAGTGTGTTTTCTTGGCAAGTACTTTTAAATATTGTGTTGCATTACTTAGAATGTATATATGATGTTGTGCCAAAAAATGTATCCCTAGCTCCACTGGGATATCTACCATGACCTTCTAGCCAATCTGTCATGCCAGAAGGTAACCTTTTTTTCTGGCAGGTGAGGCTGGAGAAAAAAAAAAAATGTATATTTATTTTCTGGAACAGATCCCTTTGACTTGCGCATGGTCTTACGCAGAAAGGAAAACAAAGCTGAAGGAAGAAACCAATTCATTTTGATATGAATTTTACATCAATAATTACACAAAATATAGAAGTCTTTCCTACCACCTAATAGAAATCAAATGGGCTGATAGATAACCGACTGACAGTTATTGCATGTATACTGCCTTCAAGTGTAATTCATTTATTATTTTTAGGTAATAGCAGCCCTGTACTGTTCTACTTACTCAATTTTATTGCTTTCTCTATATTATCTTTTCAAATGCAGAACCGCAGGTAAACCAAATGTAACTATTCATCAAACCCGTGAAGTATCATTTATAATATTAAAGCAATCACAGCTAATGCATCAGTTAATCCCATACCTCCTCTGACAGAGATTTCCTTTACAACGACACAGCCTGGTTTTACCATTTGAAAAGAAATTGGATGACCTTTGAGATAAATTTTCCTGCCCTATATGAGAAGGTTGAAATACCCTTGCATTTAAATACTTCATGCCCTGTACTCTCGTTATGTCTTGAACACAAATCTTAGAGCTTTTTTAAGGCAGGATATGACACTTAGTCCACTCATCTGATATAGTAGGTGTGTGTAATGATAAATTACATACATTTGGCAGTAGTTCAGTTACTTCAGACTTCACTTTCCTCGAGACTCTTAGACAAATGTCATCTGGGCTTTGTGATTTAATTTCCTTTTTTTTTTTTTCCCCACATCTTAGTAACTGCTGTGTCTTGCCTTCCTTATTTATAAAGGGTAAACCTCAGGCTACTACAAGTAGTCCTGTCTTTCTAGATAGGTTGTCCTGTCTTTCTTTTCATTTTACCTCTGCTTCTTTTATGTTTTTCTTGTTTGTTTAATTGAAGAATAAAATTCATTTCTCTGGTAATGGAAGGGAAGTAAGGGCATTAGCATTAATACCACTCCATGTTTTGCTTGTTATTCAAATGCTTCAGTCTGCTCCAATTTTAAACAAAAGAGTAAGATCCATAAAGCTGGGAACCATCAATAAAACCAAACCTAAACCTAGGTAGTGAATGGGAGTCTCTGTCTCTGGCTGTGGGCCCAGGAAGAATCCCAGCTCTCGGTGAACTCAGTGAAATGTGTTTCAGGTCTAGTGAGAAGCCAGTCTTGAGCACCCTGAGGTCTGCATTTACTCATTGAACCAGCCTGTGCTGGAGACGGTAAAGAGCATTTCTTCTCATGGTTCCCTTGAATGCAGCAGCCTGCTGTTGTTTGACTGTGTGCATCCTGCAACTGGCCCTAAAGCCTTTACTCAATACCTGCTAGTAGTGAAAAAGATAATATTCCAAAATTGTCCACAGTTTGAGGTGAGAATGACCGAAAGGACACGGGGACTTTTGGATGCAAAGCTTTTATCAGGCAGGAAAATATTTGGGAAAACCCTTTTTGCTCTGAACTCAAAACACTGTTATCCAGATGCATCTATATTTGGCATTACAGAGAATTAATTTTGTCATCAACCTATTTCTTCATGTTTGATGAAATTTCATTTCAG